CAAACACACTATAGGAGTCTATAATGTAACAAACTTGATAAAAGATTCATCTTCTTTGGTTTTGGTATAGACGACGTAACGGGCAATGTGCCTAGTCATTTTCAAATAGATAATTCAAATCATTAAGATATTAGCATAGTTGAAGACTAATTGACATTTGACAATGATTATGAATCGAGTATGCACTCTACAACAAAGTTAAATTAGCCTGTTAAAAGACAGATATTAAATTTTAAAATTTCATTCAATCCTGTTTTGAAACTTTCATTAGCGCATCAATGAGGGGGAAGGGGGGCCATGGCTGCCCCTTTTTGAGCAACGTTGTTCCACGTTTTGAGCAACGTTGTTAGTAAGCTGGTAGTTTGTTACTATACTCATATAGTACTTAATCTCCTAAACCTGAAAACGTTTGATTCGGTTATAGAAATTCCGACGTCTTAGTTATATAGTATCTTGAATCAACCGGAGAGTTATTATTATGAACAACGTACCATAGATCGAAAAGCAACAATTGCTTGCATTCAAATATAAAAGAGTGAGGAAAAACATAAAAATGACATGAGGCTAGCTAAAGATATATGTTTATATGTATTGTCGGAAATTTTCAAAGCACAACTGATGGTGAGGTAATCTCTTCCTCTACCTTTCTCAGGGAATTTTTGTATGGTCCGACAATAATTTTTGTGTATATTTTTATCGTGAGTTCGACTAGTCCTGTGTGGCACTGGGCTTTTCGAATTATATGATTTTACTGAGTAACACACGAACGCGTAAAAATATTCGATAACAATTTTATTAATCGACGGAAGTAAATGAAAAGGAATTGAACTAAATGAACTCTATAATAACGTAAAATGTCAATGAACAAACTGGAATACAGGAATTAGAACTTTTTCTCGTTGGATCTTCGACTTGGGATATGTTTCTTGCCGTTTAATCGTACAACCTCGACGTGTGTAACCGATGGTGGTGTCGATACAACTCCAAGAAATCAATAAAATGAATGCGGGAAAAATCACAAAAATCGGAGCCTACGGAAATTGCAAGCTGCGTGTGAAACTATACCGATGAGTATAGAATCCAGCAAAGAACCCTAGGTCCACAAATAGCACAAGAAACAAAACAACGAGGCAGATTCGTTTCCACAGAATCCAAGGCCAGTTTTCACTGGGCCTGTCAGTCAGTCGGTCGGCTTTCGCACAACCCTGGCCTGTTTTCACTGGGCCGTCAAGTCTGGTTGACTTTCACACAACCAACACAAAACAACAAGTGTCAGAACAACAACGGAAACAAATTGTGTGACTTTAGTACTTTAGTATGCCAATGAGCATCCAAATCC